ATGACAAATCATTCAACTTTTTGAGATAAAAAAATAAAAAATTCCAATATTGCATATATTTAAAAAAAAAACAAATATATTGAACTATAAGAAACTGAAAATGAAGTTTGATAAAAGTTTTATCATGTGAAGATTTTTCAAATATATCAACATAAGTAAAAATATTAGCAGTTTTAAAAAATAAAGACTTGTAACATAAACATGAGCAACTATGGAAACAATCATAATAAAAAAACTATGCAAGGAAGAATAAAACTTTTTATTAAATAAAAAAGAAATGATTTTTTAAATAAAGTAAATTGCATTCTATCATGTAGAATGCAATTTAATAGCAACACTTTTACAGTTGATCTCACGTAACTTGAATCCTCTAGGATTCTCAAAATATATTCAAATTACTAGAGTTTTAGAATTATAAGAGTTCAATCCTATATATTAAACATTTAAAGGCCAAAGAATTTAACTATTATGATCTTTTGAATTATAGGAATTCTAATTACATGAGTTTAACTGTAATATATTGAAATTTTCTAAAATATTTTTCTCTAATGTCTTCTTCCTTTGCTGTTTTCATTACATTCAATATATTTCTCCAATGTCTTCTTCCTTTGCTGTTTTCATTACATTAAATATATTTCTCCATTGTCTTCTTCCTTTGCTGTTTTCATTACATCAAATATTTTTCTCTAATAATTGGAAAACTTAAACTGTACTATTGCTCTATTATTCAATATGAAAAATATCAGAAAAAGCCAAGACAAACCTAAAACCTATATATCAATACATAAACATGAAACATGAAAGTTAAAAATCAAATAAGATTTATGAAAGAGTCCGATCGAAAGCTTTATAGCTAAAATCCTTAACAAAATCTTTTCATCTGTTTTTACTCCTTTAAGTTTAAGTCAATCACTGCCAGCATTCAAAAATTTCTTTAACTTCTGTCTGCTGCAAAATCTTAGAGCGTACTGTAAAAGATTGTTTAACTGAGTATCTATGAGCTAATGATTTTTTATCTCAAAATCAGCACTGGTTTGTGCCAAATGAATCATGCATTAAAAATTCATTGGAAACTGTCGATCAGATCTCATACTCAATGGCAAGAGGCTATAGTGTAGATGCTTTATATCTAGATTATGAAAAAGCATTTGACACACCTCCTCATAATTTTATGCTTCACAAACTTTCTGTTTATGGTATCACTTTTATGCTTCTTAATTGGATAAATTCTAGAAGAGGTCCTAGAACACATCCTTGTGGTGTCCCACAAGGATCTATTCTAGGACCTCTTCTATTTATCTCATCATAAATCAATGAAATTACAGACCTTATTAGCAATCCAATGAAGTTATATGCCAACAACAGTAAAGTTATTTCCACCAACTTGATACCTGAGAGCCCAGCTTTGCTCCAGAAGTATATAAACCACATCATGTCTTGGACTCTAACCTGGCGCTTAGGTGTTAACTACAAAAAGTGCCTTATTGTACGTTTTAACAAAAGTAAAAATCCTAATCACCAATACTATGTCTTGACTCAGCAAGGGATGCAGCTTCTCGACTCCTCTTACAACGAAAGAGATTTTGGCATTTGCATTTCACACAACATCAAATGGGCCACTCGCATTGAAATAATATCATCTAAAGCTAACTCTGTTCTCGGTCAACTAAAGCAAACTTTTATCTATAAAAACGCACATGTTTGGAAGAGACTATACACATTCCTTGTCAGAACTCACCTCTCAAAAAACTTGAAAAAGTTAAAAGCCACGCCACCAAAGCAAATCCCTCTTTAAGAGCATTATCCAGCGAAGCCAGATTATCATTTCTTTAACTCACCTCATTAAATGAAAGATGCATTCGAGGTGATTTAGTCTACAACTTTACAACTATGTAATTATTAAATACATAATTAAATATGTAATAAAATACAAAATTATTAAATACATAAATTTTTATGTAAATATATAAAATACATAAACTATAATACTTTATTAAATAAAGTAACAAATTAATTATAATGTTTAAAATAAAACCATTTTATTTAAATATCAAAGAATATTAAACGCAATTACACTTATATAAATATGTATTTTTTTATGAATCTTTTCAAACTTTTTCTAGGATTAATTTTATAAACACTTAATAGCGAACATTTTTAGCGCAAAAACAAAAGTCACGTAATAACTCAAATTTAATAGTGCAATAAAAAAGTACTGGTTTCTATAGTGTAATAAAAAGTACTGGTTTCTATAAGCATAACTATTAAACTAATAATAATAATATAATAATAACATAATAAATACTAAACTATAAATTTAAATTAATAACTAATTGTAACGTTTTAATATGAATGATAAAAACTGGGCTACTTATTTCAAAAAAATGTAATGCTTTGGCATCTTTTAAAAAATGAATTAACTGAAAAAAAATGACGTATTTTATAAACTAGCCACGTGTTCAACTTCAATTTTATTTTGAATAAAAAATAAAAAATTCAAAAAATAAAGTTTATATACAAACTGAATTTATTAATAACTTTTGGAACAACTAAAATGATTAGAAAATAAATGCACATAAAATATATGTGGAACAAAATGACTAATAGATGTCATTTTTTACCGGAAAATGTTCGATGTCCGGCGCTTATTTCAAGCCCTGTATATATATATATATATATATATATATATATATATATATATATATATATACATATATATATACATATATATATACACATATATATATATATATATATATATATATATATATATATATATATATATATATATATATATATATATATATATATATATATAATATATACATATATATATATATGTATTACATATCAGAGGTACATTATAAGTGAACTGGATTTTTAGATGTTTGAGTTTTGAAACTTACAGGCATTGTGCAAACTTATGTAAAATGAGGATATTTTGCAAAGAATTGCTGTAGTTGGAGTTGGGAACAAAAAACCTTAATTTTTGGGCCCACCCGGCCCTTTTTACAAGTGGGCCCTTAATTTTAATTTTTTTTTACAAGTGGACCCTAATTTTTGGGCCCACCCGTAGGACCAACAAGCTTATAAATTATTTTCTTTACTATTTTTATCTAAATTTATATTCATCAACAAATTTCAATTTTAATCCAATAACCTTTTAGTGTTTAGTTTTTATGACCCTGCAAAATTTGGAGCCCCCTCATATATATATATATATATATATATATATATATATATATATATATATATATATATATATATATATATATATATATATATATATATATATATATATATATATATATATATATATATATATATACATATATACATATATACATATACATATATATATATATATATATATATATATATATATATATATATATATATATATATATATATATATATATATATATATATATATATATATATATTAATAATAAATCTGTAGAGAAATTCAAATTTATTTTTTCATTTTTGTTTTCATTCTGTGGGTTTAAAAATAAAATTATTGTAAATGATTGCTCTGGAATGTTTTTCATAATTATCACAGCAAGCTAAATAGCTTACTGATTTTTTTGACTTTCAGCATTGGTAATATTACCAATGCTGAAAGACAAAAAAATGCTATTCATAAAAATTTGAGTGTTAATGCTTGTCTTTTAACATTTAAATCAGTTCAATTTTAATGATTATTATTTAAATCACCCATTAAAAAATTAATTTAATGCTTAATAAAACAACTCTTAACTGCCATTCTTTGTTTATAAAAAGTGTATTTATGAGTACGTTGTGAAAGTGTATTTCTGAGTACTTCGTGAAAGTATATTTATGAGTACTTTGTATTATTTGTGGTAGATTACATTATATAATTTAATATTACATTTAAATGTAAGAAAATCAAAGATTGCCAATTGCATTCTTCTAAAATGAACAGAACAGATATAAAGTTCAATGCATTTTTTTTTTTGAAACTGCCTATATCCTTTTCTGGTAACATAACATATTGGAATTTTAGATACGAAATGCAAAGTATGTTTGACTACCATTTACCATATCTTATATGTATATAAGATATGGTAAATGATAGTCAAACATACTTTGCATTTAGTATCTAAAATTCCAATATGTTATGTTACCAGAAAAGGATATATTTATATATAATAAAATACAAAAACTTCAAAACTTTCCTTAGAATATGTTTTTCTAAAAACCTGTCATCATTTAAAAAATTGTTTTAGGTTTTCGTAAAAATTACTAGTGGAATGTGGAAATTGATTAAAATGTTTCATAAAAAAACATGCCAAAAAAAAAACTATTTTAACAAACTATTATGATTATAACTTATAAAAATAATCATATTTAACATTAATTTTCTTGTAAATATTATTTTCTTTTTTATATTTATACAAAACATAAAAAAGAAAATATTTTACTATATCCTATATAACTTTTTTTATTGCCAACAGTTGTTTAAAGTTTATTTAAAAAACTTTATAAGAAAAAATTTACAAATTGTAGTGCATATATCAAAAATTGAAGTGAGCAGAACATATGACACTATGCTTTGCATACATATGCACCATGACTTTAAAACAGTAGAAAATATATATGTGTATATATGTACAAATGGTATATATTCTTTTGTAACCGCTTGTAGAAATCTTTAGATTTAACTAAATATTACAAAATAAAAAAACATTTAGAGTAACCAAATAGCATTAGTGTGCACAAAAACCCAAATTTCAAATGTAAAATGCACACACAATAACACTTTAAAACAAGACCTTTATATTGTTTTCACCAAGTCCTTTATATCTAGATTGCACTTCACTTAAACCCATAGTAAATGTACTAAAATCCCTGCAGATTGCTATTTTATTATGAGGCTAACATTAACTTTTCATTTAAAGCTAAGTACACATATACATGTATTTATACAAAACATAAATTATCATAAAATAACATTAATAATTTTTATTTATACATACTTTGAACTTCTATCATAATCTCCTGTTGTAGTAAGGGTCCTGCAACTTTAAAAATTCTTTCACTGATTGGATTTTTGTCATTTAATGATTCATTTGTCGAGTTCACAATTATATCACAATTAAGTTTTGTGATGTCGCCTTCCCTTTTTATTAAAATAGATTATTATTAGTCTATATTTATAATATCTATATTTATTAATAACTAAAAAGAAATTAAATTTCAACAAACTTGATTTAATTTTAAAATTTAAAACAATAACAATATATCTACATTGATTTAGTTCATTGACTTATTTAATATAATAATTTTCTTAGCATTTTTTAATTCTTTTGAATAATTTAAAAAAATAATATATACAAGAGTGTTGAGTAGTCATGGTGGGTACACTGCTCATAAGTCCAGTTCTGTCCAGAAAACACAAAGTTATTTTTAGCATAAATTATAAAAAACATTAAATATTGAAATTCAGCAATTTAACTTTTTTATGCCTAAATTTAATATTTGTAAACAAACCAACATACTCAACCTCAAGAACATCTCAACAACTCAAAACCATCACAAGAATATAGTGATTTTGTTATTAATTGGTTACTTTTTTAATTCAATTAGTTCTTAAATTAACTGATTTTTTATACACTAATTGACTTGCACATTTCATTCTACTTAAATTTAAGGTTAGAACTGAGTCTATACTTAAATAGTATTTTTTCCATTAATTAAAGTCTCTTTAGAAACTAAAAGTTTAAAAACCTTATTTAGTTTGTTTATATTTAAAATCAAAAATGTTTACATTTAAAGATTAAAACATCAAATTTAAAAAAAACCGTTTTTATTAACAACTTTGCTTGTCTGATTCGCTATTTATTGATTAATTACTTCCAGGTAGTTAACACCCCTAAATAATAGAATCCCAAATATTAATTTTGAACAAACTACTTTTAAAAATCAGTTTTAACAATCATTTATTGTTCAGAATCCAAACCTGCAAAATGATATCAAAGTTATTAAAACCTGTTTAGTTTAGTTTAAGTGAGCACTTCATTATTTAAAGCACTTGGTTTTAAGTCAGTATTTCAGAGTATTAATACTCTTACCCAATCCCATTCTTAACTTATTTTCTTAGTGGTACTTCATTTTTAAACAGAATGCACCACATAATTAACTATAACTTATGTCATATTTAATAAAAATGAAAATTTGTAACTAACCACTTTTTAGAGTGATTCAAAAATAAATACTAAAACACTACAACAAAAAGAAGGCTACTATATAAAAATTTAATTTCAAAATGATCTTAGAACTAAAACATCTGGGATAATTAAACATTAAAAAAATTAGACCTTATTATTAGAAGATATATTAGAAGTTCAGAAATTAAGAGGTATACAACGACCTTAAACTTATTGATATGAAAAAATTTCAAATACAAATGCATTCAATCAATTTGTCCATCCTCTGGTAATGGAGGTTACAGACATCTCGTTAAATCTGAATTGGTTAAGAATTTGAAAAGAAGATAAAAAGCAGTAAACTGTATGAGAATGAAAAAAGCTTGAAAACAGAAGATAAGTCTAATATTAGGTATTATAAAGCATTATTATTTAAAAAAAATTGATAAATAAAAGTTTTTTGAACACAAAGGAGTAGTTACAGTAAAATAATGTTGAATGACAAGCCACACAAAATTGAGCTTTAGTTGATACAATAAGATAAAAAAGCTAGCTTGAGCTGCATAGAAGCATTTGAAAAAAAGTAAAAAAGTTGCAACATTTACAAAGATAGAACGAGTCACAAACTTGGCCCCTGGAGTAGATCCAACTACATCTATAATGCAATTTTAGCCTTGTTGAAACTCAAAAAATTAAAACCTTTTTTCTTATGTGCGTAAAGTTTTTTGCATGACTTAAAACCAAACTGATTCATTAAAAAATAAAAAGATTGTTAAATTTAAAAAATAAAATTATTATTATATTTAATTCATACAAATTGTTTACAAATATAGTTTCATCCTAATAGAAATATTTCTAAATAATATCTATGCATTTAAACAAGACATTTTATACTTTTAACAACATTTTTAAAACTACCACATTAAAAAATATATTGTTTTTAATCATAATATTGCTTACATTAAAATTGACAATTAACATTTTTACCAATAAGCAAGGCACAGGAAACTAAAAGTTGAACTGATTGAAGATGCCCTGATAAGTTTAAGTCCATACAACAACCTTGGCACTCAACACCTCTTATGCACCCCTCAACACCCCTTATGCACCTAATCAACACTCCTAGACAATTGTCTATGTTAGGTTTAAAGTAAATACAACTGTAAAACCATAAATCTTATAACATAAGAATTAAAGTAAGAACTAAAACACTTGCCATAAACATATTTTATCATTAATGTCAATGTTAACAGGAAATGGACTTTCGCGTTCTTCAAGTACTTCTGGACATTTTGAGAGGTTAGTTTGTGACCAACGTGGTAATGTTTCTGCATCAATTATACCAGATAATAAACCTAATGGATCCATTATAACATTTTTCTAAAATTAATTTAAACTTTTAAATATTTAAGAGTTTTGCATAATAAAATCTTTAAACTACTAATATATTCTGCTTAGTTTTTTGAAATGCATATTATATATACATATATATATATATATATATATATATATATATATATATATATATATATATATATATATATATATATATATATATATATATATATATATATATATATATATATATATATATATATATGTATATATATATATATATATATATATATATATATATATATATATATATATCAGTGTTTCACAGGAAGACATGCAATCGCACATTATTATATGATCAGACAAATCACATTTTGCTTTGACAATTTGATCGCAGCTATTTCAAAAAACATTTTAAAAAAATTCTAAATAAAAAATATTCTCAATTATACCTTAAGTGAAATAAATTACATGAACACTTCTTAACAAACGTTTTTATATTAGTGAAACTCTTTTAAATAAAGTAACAATTTACTGATAATGATTTTTTTTAAAGTATAACTGACAGTTATACTTTAAAAACAGTCTTGAAGGCAAGGGGCTAGCATAAATATTTATAATAATTTTTTTTTTCAGGGTTTAGATAAATATCTGTATTTTTGATTAAAAAAGTATGGTTTTTTTCTATCTTCTCAAAAAACAGTATAATTTACATTTTAATTTGGTTAAAAAACGTTAATTACGTGACGCGGCGTTGTTATTTTACCTTTTCAACAATTAATCTCAAATTTTGTTATTTAGATTAATAATACAGTTTGCAAATATATATATTCAAAATAAAAATAGAATGACTAATTTTATGTATGCTTATTATTTGTAATATTTTAATCAGAATAAATAAAATACTCCTTAAGTTATGATTACAATTTACTATTTATTTGTCTTCAAAAACCACACTTCGCATTTTTTTTACTTTTTTGCAAAATTTGGAGATTTTATTGCAAAAAAAGTCTCTTATGTGCAGTATCAATGATATTCAGAAAAAATCAAACTTGTGCCAAAGTACCTTACATCATTACTAAATAAACGGTTATCAAGTGGTCTTTAAAAACAAATCATTAACAATTAAAAAATAAAAAGTTTTTTTCAAATTTACCAAAAATATTGATTTTGTAACATACGGGTCATTCCATGTCAACTCAACCAGTGATGTTCACCACACCATCTCAGATCTACCTGAAATTTTCAGGGCTTGTAGTACATACAAAGTTAAGCATTTGCTGAAAATTTTAGGTCATTTCATCAAAAACTTTCTGAGATAATTTTTTAAAGTTTTAAGGGTTGTCACAAGTTCACGTGACTTTTATATTTTCTATAAATGATATTTAAACGTGAATATTTCAAAAACTAAAACAGGTATCAGGCTGAAATTTTCAACATTTACTCATTTTTTCATGCTGAGCGGAATGGTGTTTTTATATCAAATGTAGCATACAATATCCCCTAAAAATGTCCGAACATTGCACTTTAGATAGTTTTCACCAATATTTGATAGCCAAGAACCTATAAAACATGGAATGATGTTTTTTATACCATTAATAAGTACCATATATGTGTTTATTATTTTCATAGAAAATTCATGTTAATCAATAATAGTGTAGCCATTATAGGCACCGTTATGCATCACGGTCATCAATTTTTTTGCGCATTGCAACCCCCAGATGACCATGTTGACAGTAATTCACACATTTCATATTTTGCACACTTATTAACCTCAGTAAGTACTAGCTATGGTGAAAATTTCATGTCGGTGTCTTGCCTCCTTCTTGGTGAAAAATCTGCAAGAAATTGAATATTTTCAAATGAATTTTTTGTTTAATATTTTATATAGGTATTTTATATTATTAATATATAACTATTAATTTTTTTTTTTATTATTATATTTTTTTTAGGTATTAATTTTTTTTTAGGTATTTTATTTTTTTAATAGAAAACATTTATAAAAATATACTAAATGCTTTATTGAATTATGAGAAAGTAGCATGTAAATTTGTATTTTTTTTGGTTGAATTAGTATGGAATGTTTTTATAAAAATATGTTATCATATTTTTTTTATAATTGATATAGATTCCATATTTACTGAATATGGCTGAACTGCCATTGTGCACATTTGGACTGTTGCTTCAAGATGAATGCCACAAGACAGTTCATACACGTAGTGTCGGCTTGCATAACCTGTTAGAATTATCCAATGCTAACTTTGAATTGTTGATGTTAAGAACCAAGCCTGTTGATCAATTACAAAGAGAGAACTGCAATATATGCTTCCACCACAAACAGGTTCTACTTGAAAAATTTGATAAATTGCAGCGGAGTTGTTGTGATCCATTAAATAAACATCAATGCAAAGTCACAAAGTCACTGAGGGCAGTCAGTATTGACAAAGCCAAGGAGCTAACACTAACAACTGGGAGACACATCAAACCTGGTGAGAAGCTATGTCCAAGCTGTCGAAAGTACGATACATCCCAGGAACATGAACAGAGTTATGGACATTCAGCTAGTGATACCGATATAGAAGACATTGACTTGACATCTTTCTCAACTAAATGACAGCATAACAAGCATTGACTGCACACCAGTTAAGCTTCATGCAATGCCTGTTCTAAGTAGAACTTCATATGCCAAACGTAAAATTGCAACTGCAACAACAGAGATCCAGAAGAAAGTAAGCAAAGTCATCCAAGTACCTCTTAATCTAGTTGTATAGGAAGGTGATGCTACAGAATGTGACGGGTGCAATGACTTAACAAAATTAGTGACTGAATTAAAGATTAAATGCAGTACAGCTTCCAGGCAAGAAAAAATTAAGATGGTAACACTAGCACTATTTAGCTGGAGCCAACAAAAAGTCTCACAGGAATTTGGAGTAACCAGGCACGTTGTTAAGTAAGCAAGAAAACTGAAGAAGTCATGTGGAATTTTGGCTTACCAACAGAAAAAACATGGCAAAAAATTTCAATCACATCATCTTCTCCCAGATGATGTGATTGAAAGTGTACATAAATTTTTTGAAGATGATGAAATTTCAGTCAAGGTCAAAAGGAATCCGTGTGAATCAGAATTGATAGTGAACGTGTTCATAAACAAAAATGTCTTCTACTTCTGAATCTCAAGGAGATACATGTAGAATTCAAAAAACGAACTGCAATGAAAATTGGGCTTAGCAAGTTTTGTTCACTGTGACCACCATGGTACATTACTGTTGACTCGAGTGGTGCCCATGCAATCTGTGTTTGTGAGACTCACCAAAATTTGAAACTTGCATTTGCAGCAATGCCTGTTAGAACTGATTATAAGGACTTGCTTATGAAGGTTGTTTGTTCAACTGAGAATCGAGAATGCATGTTGCATCATTGTTTTATTTGTCCTGGTAAATCATTTCTTGAACAGCTATTTGATGAAACTGATATGGATTTAGATGACATAATCAATTACAAACGACGGACCCATGATGGTCAGTCAAAGCTGTAATCTGTATGTGAGACTGTTGCTGACTTCATTACTTCACTTTGTACTTCCGCTGATAAAACAACGGATCATCATTTTACGGCTAAGGCACAGTCATCCTACTTACGTCATCCTACTTACATCATCATGGAAAAAGTCCTTGTGATGGTATTGGTGGTACAGTAAAGAGGCTAGTGGCAAGAGCAAGTTTGCAGGCAACTCTGCAACATTAAATACTAACGCCATATCAGATGTACGATTGGGCAACCAAAAACATTCCAGGAATTCACTTCTTTTTTGCAGCAAAAGATGACGACAAAGTGTATCATAGCTACTTGGTTGAACGATTTGCTTCAATTCAAACTGTTCCTGGCACACGGTCAAACCACCAGTTTGTGGCAGTAAGTGAAAATAAACTGAAGATATTCAGGTTGTCATGTGATGACTTGGGTACAATCATCAATGTGTCACCAGAATCTGACCTGGCAGTTGAATCGGCACCAAGTATAACAGATTTGCGTCCAGGATAGTTTGTGGCTGTTTTTTATGACACTGATTGGTTTATTGGTTGCATAACAGAACATTTTGATGAACATCAAGATATCTTGGTAAAGTTCATGAACAGAACACCTACAAACAGATTAACTTGGCTACATCGTGAAGATATCTGCTGGATACCATTCACTAATGTGCTGTGCAACTTTCCACCACCAATGTTGTCTGGCAGTTCAGCAAGACAGTATTTCTATGATGATGAGCATTTTGACAATTGCAAGAAACTGTTTGGTAGTAGAACTGTGTGTAAATAGATAAGACACCAACAGTTAAATGCATTAGCACCATACGCTGATATCGCTTTACATGGTTGCTTGTATTGTTGATAAAAACAGTCTATAATTTGATTTTGTAACTTAAACTTACTATTTTTTCATAAAATTTAATTGACAGTTCATTGCTTTGATGATTTACCATAATACACTTTAATGTAAAAAAAATATTTTTTTAAAAAAACTTAACAAAATATGATTTTAATTAGCAATTGATTTAGTAGGAAAGGCTATAGACACCAACATAAAATTTACACCATAGCTACTACTTACTGAGGTTAATAAGTGTGCAAAATATGAAATGTGTGAATTACTGCCAACATGGTCATCTGGGGGTCGCAATGCGCAAAAAATTTGATGACGGTGATGCATAACGGTGCCTACAATGGCTACACTATTATTGATTAACATGAATTTTCTATGAAAATAATAAACACATATATGGTACTTATTAATGGTATAAAAAACATCATTCCATGTTTTATAGGTTCTTGGCTATATTGGGTCAAATATTGGTGAAAACTGTCTAAAGTGCAATGTTTGGACATTTGTAGGGGATATTGTATGCTACATTTGATATAAAAACACCATTCCGCTCAGCATGAAAAAATGAGTAAATGTTGAAAATTTCAGCCTGATACCTGTTTTAGTTTTTGAAATATTCACGTTCAAATATCGCGAAAATGTAAAAGTCACGTGAACTTGTGACAACCCTTAAAACTTTAAAAAATCATATCTCAGAAAGTTTTTGACGAAATGACCTAAAATTTTCAGCAATTGCTTAACTTTGTATGTATTACAAGCCCTGAAAATTTCAGGTAGATCTGAGATGGTGTGGTGAACAATTGTTAAAATGGCGGTTGAGTTGATATAAAATAATTCATACATGGTTTTTGCATATCACAATTCAATATTACTTATCAAATCAAAAAAAAAATATTTTAAATATTTAAAAAGTTTTTGTAAGTTTCTTCTATAGTTTATCTTTTTTTTTGTTCGTGTTTTGTTTATTCGCTAAGGAGGAAAGACTATCAGATAATTTTTTTTTTATAAGACTAGTGGAGCTTTTCCCAGAAATCCTGAAAGCAAAGCGAACTCTGTCAACTGATATCAATCTATTCTGTTTTTCCTCTTCGTTACTGTAACAATGGACATATTGCTGCATCATGCCGACGGCTTTTTCCGAATGGTCATTGACAACAATAAGGCTATTGGCACAATTTTCAAAAATGTTAAACGAAGACTGTGTATCCCAGTATTGCAATGGAAGTGAAAGTAAGAAAACTTATCTACCAAAGGGGCTAAGCTCGGTGGATCTTGCTCAGTACTAGCATATTTTTCTATCTCTTTTCTGATGTCTTTCTTTTTTTTGTTTTCATTTTTAAAGTGTTCAGCCTCAGGCATTTTAAATGAAAGAACTGCAGCTGCAATTTTTTGTTTTTCATGCGAAGACAAATCCTTATCCAATAGAGCTAGAGGAATCATAGTTGAGTCTAAGTACCAAGTGTGTTTGTAAAGCAAATCAAGCATCAACTGCTTTTGGATTCGAACAAATATTTCTAAATTGATGCATCTGATGGATAGCTTTAATATCTAAGTTGGGGGCCTTGACACATTACTCGATTCTAAATACCACTTGGCATAAAAACAGACCACAAACTCCACAATAAGCTTGATTTCTTTTTTGAGATCATTATTATTTTGAATAAGTCAGGTTGAGAAAACAAAAGCTGCATTTTCAGATAGTAAATTGCTTTACCAAGAAAATGGGCATGATGGATAGCTCCAGTTTTCCTAATTTTATAAACAGAAGGGGATAGATAAGTCACAACTAATTCAGCCAGCTCTCTTCTGTCTTCACGTTTATCTTCTCCTGCTATCCCCTTTCTTTATATATATGCTTTGCAAAAGTTTATAGAATCTTCAGCAGTCATTTCACTACCACTCACCTCCTTTCAGTTAAACTTGTACAGATCACTTGGCGCATAACTAAATTAGGATGTTCAAATAGGCTCTTAAATTTTTGAAACAATAAGTTTTCTGGTCCTGTAGTCAACTCGTTTGTTGTATGTTTCCAAAAATCCCCCATTCTTAATTCTGTTATGTGATGCCTACATGCTAATTTTAAAAGATTTTTATTTAAAGTGTTGCATATCTTTATAATTGAACCATTTTTGATCCCTGTATTGCTTGCAGTTGTATCAAAACAAAGACTTCCTACTTTTGATTCAAATTTATATTCCTTTAGTAGGTTTATAATACTTGTATATTGATCCTCACCAAAGGAGGAAGTTAAAGAAGGAACACCTAGTAAGTGCTAGGTGCGTCTCACCCTCAATGTTCACAAGAACTGCCAGCCTGTCAACCTTAAACTTTTTTCCTGCACTAATTTCATAAAGAGTTTTTCCATCAAACTGTATAACACATGGATAAGGATAAGCTTCTATTGCATTTTTTACATCCTCTTTTGCTTAGGTTAGTTTCATTTTTCTAAAGGCTGTTGATTTACTGCAATGTATATCTGTAAGTTTAACACCAGCTTCAGTTAAAATATCACTTAAAGTAGCCCTATTGGCTACTTAAAGTAGCCAATAGGGCTACTTTAAGTGATATTTAAGTGAAGATATTACCTTTTTACTTGATCAATTAAAAAGTTGTGCATGGGATAGAAACAGAAAGAATTATAATCAGAAAAATCAGAAGTCTCAAAGAAAAAATGATTTCTAAGTAGATTAAATTATGAATACACTTGAAATAAATCAAGAAAAGATGCTTTATGCATCAGGGAAAAATTTGAAATTCTTAAAATGCAGTTTAAAAAAATTCAAGAAAAGAAGCATTATACATCTAGACAAAATGCAGTTTAAAAGAAATCGAGAAAAGAAGAATTACACATCAAGATAAATATACAGTTTTAAAAAAATCGAAAAAAAAAGCATTACACATCAAGACAAAATGCAGTTTAAAAGAAATCAAGAAAAGCAAGAACATCAAGAAGAAATTTAAACATCTTAATATGCAGTTCTTCACTGGAAAATTTCTCAAATCTAAAGTTAATTTTGATTGAGCAGCATTATATAATCATCAAAATCATGATGTTAATTTCATGCTTTCTTGTTTTAGAAAGTATTTAAATGAAACGATTAATAGATTTTACCCTTTGCAATCCATTAAAATGAGAAGCGACAATCCTTCATTGATAACTCCTCAATTTAAAATTTTAATGAAAGATAAAGAGCATGCTTACTACAAAAAACATCAAGACAAACACATCGCTCTGAGAGTGATGTGTTTTCCAACCCTTACTCAAACTCCTCGGTGTAGCATTATAAAACGATTTTAAGTGGAACACTTAATCTTCCTGACAACCTTTCATCTAAAGTAGCTCTTTTTGCTGATGACTCAACTTTATACTCCTGTCTTGACAAAAAGTCTTCTCTTTTCGATCGCCTAGAACAAGCAGCTGACCTTGAATCTGATCTCACTTCGGTGGTAGATTGGGGTTCACAGTGGCTTGTGAGTTTCAACTCTAAAAAAACCCAATTGCTTACTGCAAACAACTACCGTAATATGGTCAACATTCCTATATTAATGAATGGCAATCCTCTTACTGAGTCGTCCTCTTTACGTCTTCTTGGATTATCGCTTACTACTGACCTTTCATGGAAACCATATATACAATCGATTGCTAAATTAGCTTCTGCTAAGGTTGCATCTCTTTATCATGCTCGCCATTTCCTTACTTCTGATTCCATTCTCTACCTCTACAAATCTCTTATTCGTCCCTGTATGGAATACTGTTGTCATGTTTGGGCTGGTTCTTCTAACGATTCACTTTCTCTTCTTGACAAGGTCCAAAAACGCATTGTAAATGTTGTTGGACCTGGACTATCTGCTAAGCTTGAACCTCTTTCCCATCATCGTAAAGTTGCATCTCTTTCTCTTTTCTACAGATATTATCATGGTCACTGCTCAAAGGAGTTATCATCTCTAGTTCCATCAACTAAAATTCATTCTCGTTTTACTCGTCATTCAGCTAAGTCTCATTCGTTTACTGTATCTGTCCCTGCATGCTCTAAAAACTTTTATTCATCTAGTTTTTTTCCCCGCACTTCAATCCTTTGGAACTCTCTCCCATCTTGTGGTTGCTTGCAGCCTTGTTGGGAGTGAATGCAAATAAAAAAAAAAAAAAAAAAAATTCAAAAACAACCATCAGAAATGTTGTTCTGAAATGTTTGCATCCATTCATCGCATTGCATCCTCTTGATTTCCTTAGTCTTTTCATATATGGTTTACAATTGGCTTGTGTTTTACGACAGCTCTAGCTCTCGATTTAAAAAATTAAAAGGCATCCAAATCTACCATCAAAGCGTCTTGAAGGCATCTGCCTCAGATTGATTTAAAAAGTTGCCAAATCGAATGATCACCTTATTCGAGCTTTGTTTTTTGTTAATTCTATTGTGCAAAATTTCAGGTATTTGCATAAGTTCCAACTTCTACACCCTAAATTAACTTATTTAACAAATTATTATTATTATTAATTTTTTTGGAGGATGGGTGGTTGTAAATCCTCATTTATAGCTATATATTGTATTTATTTATAAAGGAAACAAGTAATAATATACATTATGTATACATTGATGGTTTAAATCACAAAAAACACATGTCCACCTTTTTGGATAACGCTACTTCTTACTGCTCTTCTGAAACAATTTATAATTACATAATTGAGGATCTCAATATATATATATATATATATATATATATATATATATATATATATATATATATATATATATATATATACATATATATACATATATATACATATATATACATATATATACATATATATACATATATATATATATATATATATATATATATATATATATATATATATATATATATATATATATATATATATATATACACTTACTAAAGCGTGTTTTGATAAGCATTTGCTCACTTTTTCTGCTTACCTTAAGCTATACCGTTTTTTTCGAAAAAAAAAAAGAAAAAACCAAGAATTATGAATAAAACGATTGCTTCCCCATCTCAAACCCTCAGTCGATGTAGCAGCACTCCACTGCGAGTCAGGCTATTTGTCAGTCGATGTATGTACTGAAGCCACCAGCAGCAGGCTATTTCAGTATGACGTCAGATTGCTTACCTTAGTACGCAATACACAACATATATTATATATATATATATATATATATATATATATATATATATATATATATATATATATATATATATATATATATATATATATACATATATATACATATACATATATATATATATATATATATATATATATATATATATATATATATATATATATATATATATATATTTATATACACACACAATACACACATTAATTCACTGATGAGATGAAAAAAAAATTAAGTAGCTTTCTTTTGATTCTTTTATACGCTCTACTACCTCAGCTGTGTTGTAGATTTTGTTTATTACTTTCGTTAAGGAGTTTATAAATGAAAAAAAAAAACCTTATCGTAATCATTTAATCTCCATTTTATCTATATTATACAAATGTTTTAATTACCTGTAAGTCAAAAATACATATAAACGAAAAGTCAGCAATAATATACGTTAAGTAATAAAATACGTTTCCTAGTTTATACAAAACTAATTGTCACAAAAAATGTTGTTGTTTTTTTAACGCCGCAATTATTTCAATTGTTTGTTAATGTTAAGAAAACAATCATCATTTCGAAGAAAGTAAGAAGAACAAGAAAAGATCAGCAGTAAATCACCAGATTGCAACCTAGCATAAGACATAGTTTTCTAATTTTCATACATAGTTTTTTAGTTTTTACTCGTTAACTACCAATGATTTATATTTATATACGGATAAATTATATTTTCAGCCCAAAGTAACAAAAAATGAAAACCGTAAAAACAAACAAAAAATAACCCCGCGGTGTAACACCCACTTTGCTTTAAATCTGAATTTAGATTTAAAGCACCCACTTTGGTTTAAATCTGAATTCAGATTTAAAGCAAAGTGGGTGTTACACCGCGGGGTTATTTTTTACATTTTTAATACATTTTTATATTTTGGATCACAATTGCGTCTCCTATAAAAAAGGATCTTTCATTTGTTAGATATTTAGGAGCTTCATGAAGTTCCTAAATATCTTACAAATGAAGGATCCTTTTTTATAGGAGACGCAATTGTGATCCAAAATATAAAAATGTATTTTTGGATCACAATTTTTTGAATATTTTATATTATTGAGACACTTCCCTTCGCATTTTGGCACGTCTACATCTTTTCGTTTTTTTGTCTGAACGTTTTGCATGCGAAACATATGCTGCAAAGCTGCGGCAAGCGACTGGCTTAATTGCGCTTGTGTTTCAAACTTCTTTTTGAATTTCCTTTTGAATAGCTAGAGTTATATTGAAGGCTGGTTGCGGCGAGTTGACTGTGCATTCGACGTTAAAGCACGTGTTGTATAATTAGCATTAACATACAACGTATGTTAATGCTAATTATACAACGTATGCTAGATAATGTTGGGGTAGATTCAGTGTAGCTAGTGGCGCTAGTAGTGGTAACACTGGAATAGATTCTGATGGTTGAGAAGACAATAGCTCAGGTTGAGATGAAAGTGTTTCAAACGTATTAACAATTTATAATTTGATCAATTTTCTTGATGTTGAGCGGAAACAAACCAATATTTTAAAGTTTAGTGACTATTTTAGTTAGAGTTAGTTTAATGTTTTACTTGCAGTTTACTAAAACATTCTTTTGACAAGTTCTTGAAATAATTTGCACCAAACTCTATTGACATGGCAATAAACACCAAAATCTAGTGGTTGCCCTGGTGGTAAATTTTATTCATTTTTTTTCGTCATATTCTATAAAAATAAGTGCAACCTGATAGGTAACATATGTCAAGTGTCCATTTACAACAAAATTATAAGTACCTATAATTGGGTAATCAAAATTCAATTTATTTAATTAAATAATTAATTGATTAAACTAATTTTTAATAAATCGAATAAACTATTTACCCTATTTACTCTTTTTAATGGCGGGAATGTACACCCCAGATTTTCTTCTGATTTCCTTCTGGACAAAACAAGTGCAACTCCACAAAATGTTGACCAAGCTGTATTTCGCTATCAATATTTTGTGGCGAATCCTTTGTTGTCGATCACAGCCTTGCATCTTCGAGGCATAGATTCGAACAGGTGATCATTGAAACTTTGTGGAATCGCTGTCCAGGTCTTTTGGATTTGTTCAAACAATTGATCCTTATTACGAACACATGATTAATTCTGCGGTTGACGATCTCCCACAAGTTCTTGATAGGTTTGAGATCAGGAGATTGAGGCGGCCAATCCATCTCCGATAAGTGGTTGTCTTGAAACCACTGCTTGACTACTTTTGCAGTGTGTTTGGGATCGTTGTCTTGCTGAAAAATCCATTTTATTGGCATATTCCATTCAGCATGAGGTAACATAACATCTTTCAGGATATTTTTATACATGAAACGGTCCATTATTCCATCGATTCGATGTATTGGACCTTGACCGTTAGCTTAAAAACACCCCCAGACCATTACATTACCTCCACCATGCTTCACGGCCTTATGGCAGTAACGTAAATCGAGGTGTTTTCCGGCCGGTCGACGTACACGGCAAATGCCATCGCTCCCAATGATGTTGAACTTCAATTCATCACTGATCAGGACAGTTCACCATTTCTGCACATTCCAGTCAATATGAGATGTAGCAAACAGGAGTCTTTTCTTCTGGTTCTTTAGTGAAATCAGCAGTTTCTTTGCAGGGCGTCGAGAAAACAATCTGGCTTCAACAGCACGTCGTCTGATTGTTCGGTCCAATACAGGCAGCTCTAATTGCTTTTGTATCTCGAATGATGATATCCAGGGATCCTTCTTGACGGATCAGACGATCATAGAATCCTCTCTAAAAGTGGTGAAACGCGGTCTTCCACCTTTGTTATCTGCTGCCAACTTCACTGTAGAACGATATTTGGAACATAGTCTTGATACGGTCCATTTTTTAACGCGATATTAATTTATCACAAAAAATTAACGCGATATATATTTATCACAAATACTTTTTTGTGACATTCCACTTACGTAATCGTGACATTTCACTTACGTAATTTGTGGAATTATTACCTAATTTGTGGAGTTATTACGTCATTACGTAATAATTCCATTTACTTAATTTTTGACATTCCACTTACGTAATTTCATACTTCTGGAAACTTCTGAAAATCTGGATACTTACTTTAATTATTAAAAAACTTCCGTGACATTGACACGGACCAGACTTAAGAAAATGAAACAAACGAAAAAAGTTGCACTTGTTTTGTCCGCTGCAAAATGGCACTTGTCAACGAAATTCTGCCTGTGTGCTGTCACCTGTCAGCTGATTGCTCATGTCATGGCATGCTATGACTCCAGACTCCTTAATTGTTTGGTGTGGTAGTATAGTTCGTTTCGTTTTTAAGACATGTAAAATTAGGAACACTTTTTAGCATTGTTCGATCTTGGTTGCAAATGTTTTGTCCAATACTGTATGTTTGTTTTTCTTGATCACCAGAGAAAGCTAAAGAGTTGCTACTGGTATGCTGAATGATTGTGCGTGCAAGTTTTTTCGAGGCATATTTTTTATTAGAATAGTTTTGATAATAATCGATTTTAAAGTTAAACGAAGAATTTTGAATAAAATGAATAAAAAAACTTACAAAAAGACTTATTGGTCAGTTTAGACATAATTAATTAATAAAAGTCCTATTTACAAAGCGAATAATTGGCGTATTTCACTCGACACCATAGTTCACTGTTTTCATTTTTAACTCATATTTTTTTAGCGAGCAAATTTCACTTTACGAGAGTTTTATGCCCATTTTTCAAAAAATTAATAGGCGACCGAAAATTAAACCATTCATAGATAAAAATTGTTTATTTTGTATAAAAATTTTATATCTTCTTATTCAGAAAAAAAATCTTCATAACACGATCAAAAAGTATTTCAAAAATGTTTATTTAATAAATAAGTAGCAGCAAAAGAATAAACATTGTTATAACTATTTCATTTATCCTCTATTTCATTCTATCCTCTATTTCATTCTACCCGCTTTTACTCTTTCGTTTAAATGATGAAAATTAAAATATAAATTAATTTTAAAAGAACATTTTTAAATATAAAAGTACTGAAATACATTCATGAAATGATTTGTTAAAAAAATGCGCGTGTATTTATTTGAAGTAAATTAGAAATATGTTAAAAAATAAACTCCATAGTTGGAGAAACACTTGGTCATTAGATATTACAATATCATCTAACTGCAGTCTTTTTACTTTCCGCTACATATTGTTGCTGCGTTAAAAAGTCATATTTTTTTTCTATTTCTAATTGTGAAATAAACTACAAAAAAATGAAAAAAGAAATATGAATTTCTGTCTGTCAACATTCTATTAAATGTAAAACCGTCTTTAGAGTCTAAAGATGAGATTTAGTCAAGAGTTAAAGACTTATGAGATTAATTATAAATCATTCAATTTTATTTCTCATAAACTAGAGCTTTTAAAAATCAAAATAAAATTATTTTATCAACATTTATATTGGCGTGGCTGGATGTAATAATGCTTTTTTTAAAAAAAACTTTTTTTTGTTCAACTTATGTTACATTTTAAAAAAAACTTTTTTTTGTTCAACTTATGTTACATTTTTAAAAAACAATAATCGCCGAATAATTCCTAAAATAATCACATAAAAAAAATACAGCTAAAAAAACTAATAAATTAATAAAGGTGGTGAATTTCATTTTGCTTTTTTATTAACTACTTCGCTTTAGTTGCTGCTGCAGTTAAAGTTTTAACTTAGGATTGAAAGATCCGAGGTTCAATCCAGTTATAAATAACTTGCAATTAACAACCATCGGTGACGAAACATAAGGACTTTTTGGAGTATTAAAAAAAAATACAACATTAAAATCTTTTGTAGTTTATTTGAAAAAGGTGTTTAAAAAAAAGTGCATTTCCGTAAATAACTGACAAGAGATTCACTTTACAAATGACGTAAAAGTATTACTAAATAAAAAATGTAAATTTTTGTAAACTTAATGCAAGCAAATCAATCTGAGTATTGTTTAATAATTAATAATTTATGCACATAAACCATTTATATAAAGCAAACTTCGTTATAAGCAGTATTTCACACCATCTATGACAAGTATGATGTAAATTTTTAAAAAATTGAAATAAACTTTTTGTTCAGCAAAATCCGATTACTGTCAAGAAAAGTGGATTTTTCATTAAAATAATTGTTATTTGAAAAAAAATTGTAACTTTTACAAAAATCTTTAAAAACCTCTTTGTTAAATATTTTAGCGCAAAAAATAAATCTTTCTTTATAAATTAATTTTTTTGAATTTGAAAACTCAAAAAAAGAGAAAAATAAATGTGAAGGAAAAAATTGATTATGATTTATTTTGTTTCATGAGAAACCACAAATAAAGCAAAAAACCAAAATCATGCACTTAGGTTAAAAAATAAATCCTTAAATTATAAATGACTTCTTACATGGTACAAATATAATAACTGCTCAACAGTACAAATATTTTCCAATTACCATTTACAGCTGTCTTCAAATAATTGACGGATAATCAGTAACAGTTAAAGCCGTCCTTCAAATAA